ATATGTTTTAATAGTAACTCAATTAATTGCGTCAAATAATTGCGTCAATTGCATCAAGGATCTACGAATTTCAGCAACATGTATAGTCTATAGTGTAATGATTAATACTCCACAGGTTAAATCACAAGATATCAGTTCAATAGAGCAGTTGAATAGAATTAATATAGTACCTGGGGCCATAACTTGTTAAGCACTGTTTCTCATAAGAAGCCATTTCACATGCTGATTCAGCGGGCATTGAGATTGTGATTTCCTAGAAAAGGTACTATGGCATAACAATCATCTAATTGGTGTTATAATGATCATTGTTCAGTTTAGTGCAATCCCAGTTCCATAATAGGTTGTTTTCCTTTCCTATAGTCCATAAGACTATAAAAGAAATATAATATGGAGGGCCACAAAACTGAAAAACTATTCAGCAAGACTTTCAACACACCCCTCCTTCAGTATAAGTGACGACTCACTAGCAATACCTACCATTCTTACCTGTAAGTAGAGAAAAAGTGGGACTTCTGGGTCACTTTTTTGGTATCCTGGGTACCTTTTTATATATATGACTATTTTTAGCTCTTTTTAAGCTTTATTTTAATAACAACAAATTTTTTTTTATGCCACATACCAATTTTTTAGGGTACCAAAAATATATATCTAGATTGCCTTTATATTCTTTTTTTATATTCTATTTTCCCTATGTTTAAAAAGCATTTCTATAGTATTTAAATATCAAAATATTATATATTGCTTTCTTGGCTTTCTAAAGTTTTTAAATTTTTAATTTCATTAATATATATTTTGTTTTTTATGCCACATACCAAGATATCAAAAAATTACGATATAAAGATATCAAAATTTATGTCCTTTATTTTTTTTTATAATACTTTTGATAATGTTTTTCAACATAATAGCTTCTAATATGTTTTGGACACCATCTACTATCAGAACGAGTACTATTTCCACATTCAGTACAAGGATATCGTTTTATAGCATTTTTATGGAAACAGCATCCTTCAGAATTTATATATTTACGTTCACATATTTTTCCACTATATAAAAAAAAACCTCATATATATTCTCCTACAGGCATTTTTTATATATCTACTATATATGAAATTTCAATTTGAACAAAAGTTTTTTTATAAGTATTATATACAATTTTTGATACCTTTGCTTTACTATGGTAGTACATACATATAACCCACTTATACTTCCTGAGATTATTGCTGAAATTGTCTCAAAATTTTCAATAGAGAATCTAGATAATTGTATTGAAATTAATTGAACATGGTATAAAGAAATTTGTTGTGAACTTTATAAGAGATATAAAAATTTTAAAACAAAATATTGTGATTTATTAGAGAAATTAGACAAATGCTTTAAAAAATTGAATATAAATGAAGATGAATTTGTTCCTATATATAATAATGCATTAATAATATTTGATGAGCTTGTAAAAGTAGAAAGGTATTTATTAAACAAAAATATGGTTTTCAGTAAAAGAATTAGAAATGCGATATTGTCCAATATTAAAGAAGATAATTATGAAAACCCATTGGACTTATATAATTTTGGAGAAGATATATTCATATATATAAAATATCTTTTCTATATATAAATAAATATTTATCAAATATTCAAAATGATATGCAGAATATAGAGTCTTTAACTTATGTAGATTTATTTTTCGATAATGATGGAATCAATAAAGAAGCTGATAATTTTCTTAAGTTTTAAGTATTCTTTGAGATGGATATTCAATCTTATCTATTTTCATTAGCTCCTCTCTAACAAAAGATCGTTTTGGACCATTCCCATCAATATCTTCAATCCAGTATAAAACTGGTTGATTTTTTTGTACCAAAGATTTCTTAATATAATAAATTTAAAGAGACCAATTACAATCGGTAGCTCTTCTTCTACTACCTTCTAATTCACCAGGTTTAAGTAAATATAATACAGAATCATTATATGTTAATCGAACTTCTTCATAACCCATAGGGCCATTTCTTGGTTTTGAGGCTTTAGCATATACAAATTTCTTTTTAATAGCTTTATTAGGAGTTATATCAAGAAGGTGGGTTATAAATTATTAAGATTATCAATAACAATAGGAAGATTTATAATCCAAGCTCTAGATCTTTTAGATAAAAGTAACAATAACTCTTGTGTATCTTGAATCCGAAATAATTTTTCATCTAAAGTTCAATTGAATCTTTCAATAATATCCATATTATTCTTGGAATTGGCTTTTTGAATCTTTACATTATGCTTTTTCATAAGTTTCTCACAATCTCCTTTAAACTTTGAACCCATATCAGTTAATAATATTTTAGACTATCTAAGTAAACATTTTGAATTATTAAAAATTTTTACAAAAGTTTCAGCAACTACAGCAGAAGTTAATATACCTTCCAAAGAAAAATCATTATCATCCATATTCAAAATATCTAAAGTAGTTCCAATTGGTTCTGCCCATTTATAGTGAGAAGCGACATCTACACAAGTAAGACAAAACATATAAGTTATATTATCAACTTTATCATATGGCATATATAAGATATCAGCTTGTATAACTTCCATTGGTATAATAATAGTATTAAAGCTAACACAAGGTATATATTTTGGTCGAGATTTATGAATCAAATATAATAATTGTTTTTCAAGCCATTCTTTTACTTCAGCTAATGTAAAACTGAATCCCACTTTTTGTACAACTTCATAAAGTTTTTTACTAGTCCTTTGATAACCAGAAGGATGGTAATAGATTTTTTGTAAATCAATAAATATATCAAATTTTTGAGATTCTAAAGAATCTATAACAATACTAGGATTACTCATCTTATTTATAATAAAAATTATTTCATTGAAAAAAAAGCTCGCCAAAATCATATACTCAATCTTTAAAAGAGCAAAACACTAATATGGCAAATCTTGATTCTATTATACAAATTGATCGAGGTTTAAATTGTATTGAAAATCATTTTAGAAACATTGGAATACTATTAAACAATCCTATAAATATTATAAATGGCATTAGAGGTTCTTTGAATACTATTCGTCATAATTATCAATCTATATATCAGGATATAGATGATGTTATTACCCAACGAAATAATCGAGATGATCAAATATTGCAGTTATAACAGGATGTTAACAGATATAGACAGCTTGATACACTTTAACAAGATCATATCAACCAGCTTACACAGGATGGTATTACTTTACAAAACCGTAATTATTAGCTTATACAAGAATGTGATACTTTACAAAATCATATAAAAGATAAAGAAAAATCTCGCAATTTTTGGAAGTTGAATGCTATCTATATTAAAACTCAAAAAGATAGACGTATTAATTCATTATTGCATAAACAATTTGCATTACAGCTTCTGAATAAACGAGTAAATCAGAAATTGAAACAGCAGTTACAACAATGTCATAATAATGGAATAATATTAAAATATTGGTAAGATCAACTTATAGTAAGATATGAAAAATGGAAAAATAAAACCCATGATATCAGGCAAATAATTAATAATTTATGTCAACAAATTTTTATATTACAAAATAATCCATTAGCAAATCCAATTAATATGGCCACTATACAAGATGTTATGCATACAATTTCACCATGACTAGCTATATTACCAGATTATGATGGACAAGAACCACCACATACTTATTATGCAAAACTTAGAGCTATAAATGAAACAGCCAGACCTTTAGGTATTGCCGCTTTTAATACTGCAGAAAGAGCAAATATCATGAAAAGTAAAATAACAGGTAGATTTTTTCCAGTTCCAGCACAAAACCCCTATAATGCTAATGCGAATATTGTTACAGAAACAGAAGTTTATAACTAGATGCAAGGTAAATATCGAGAAACAATGATTGGAAATCAACGAGCATCTTTAAAAGCTCTTATGAATGAAAAATTCACTTCATTAGATACAATTGATACTTATGAAAAAAGAATTAGACCTTATGTATTAGGTTTTAACGATGCAGAAGTATTGCTATATCTTTATGATCATTTACCTTCTAGATTAAAAACACGAATCAGAATAGCAAATCCAAATACTGTAAATGACTTCATTATGCAATTAAGAATTATTTGGTTAGAGTCTGGAGGACCAACAAGTAATTTTGAAAATGAAAACAATAGTATTTCTATAAATCAATTTCCACAAAAAAATATTGCATTAGATTATTTGGATACTATTGCTGAAAGATTAGGTTATTTAAATTATGGATTACGAGATCTTAATGATTTAATAAAATTTATCGATTATGAATTATATAATAGATTAGGACATGCAAATTATAATTTTAAAAAAGAACCTTTTGGTCAAGATAGTAAAGTAAGTATCAAAACTTCAAAAAAAGTATATAATACAAAGAAGCCGGTAAAGAAGTTTGCAAAAAAACTGTCAAAGAAGCTTATTAAAGTTACTTATAAATGCTCAAATTGTGAAAAAATTGGATATAGAAAAAATATGTGTCCCAGTCTTGTTAAAAAACTTAAAAAAGTTAATAATGTTTATCAAAGCAAACCAGAAAATTCAGATGATGAGGAGGTGATGATATTGAAAGATAACTCGAATTCAGAGGAGGAAGAAGAGATCACCTCTGATAATGATAATAATAATGATAATATACAATCCTGTTTTAATACAAAAAAAAAAGTCAGATTCCTATAAAAAAGAAACCTTCTATTAAGAAAAAATCTATCATTACTTTGGAACAGGAAGTATTTCATAAATCTCTTAAATATATAATATCCGAATTAATACCTAATTGTTCTAGGGAGATTCTTATTAAACTTCATATATTTCTTAATAACCTGTTTATAAAAATGAAGGATCAGTTTGATTTATATTATGGTGAAAAGTATACAGTCAAAGAACAAAATAAGGTATGGAATATTATTGCAAAAAAATATCTAACTATTTTCTAACCACTTATTGAAATTATTAAGGACCAGACTTCAAACTCTTCAAGTCACAAAGAAACATCTCAATCAGAAAACCTTGACCATTCTATTACATTAAATTATGCTATTAAAGTATATCAAGGAGCACAAATAAGACAAAATTGGCCTAACCCTTTTGAAATAGATTTTCTTGATATAAAAGAATCTAATGATGTAGCAATGATTTTATGTAGAATAGGTGACTTGATAATACCTTATGCAATTTTAGATACCGGTGCAAATGATTCATTATATACTGATAATATTCCTGAGTATTTAGAGATAAAAATAGATAAGAAAAATGTTCACAAACTTACTGGTGCAGTTGAAGATTTCCAATCTATTGATACTACATATAATGTTCCTATAATTATAGGCACTGAAGAAGATTCTATAACAGTTTCTGAAAAAGAAATATCTGCAATCCCCACAAAAAAGGATCGAAATGGAAAAGACATATCTATAATGATACTTGGTACAAAATGGCAATATCGTGTTGGGTGGGATCCAATAGTGAAAGGAGAATTCACAGCTACACACAATGGAAAGACTATTACAATTCCTCTTTCTACTCGCAAAGAATCACATAATGCATTTAATACAGAAAAATTACAAGTATCAGAGATAAAAAAAAATCAATAATTTATGATATGTCAGATAGAACCTGTCACTTATGCCACAGATCATTTCGACATCCATATATGTTGAAGCGATATTTTCAAACTATTAAGTGTAGAATTAACATTGATATAAGCAAGCCTTCAGTTGAGTCTACTCAAGTTAACAATAATATAAGCCAGTTTTCGAATGAGTCTACTGTTGAGTCTACTGTTGAGCCTACTGTTGAATCTGACAAAAAAATAAAAATTAATTAAAAATTAAATCTACTATGCTTCTCTATTTTTTTCAATCTGAATAATCATTCCTATCTTTTATTTCAAGTTCACGAATTTTAATATATATACTTCCATCTTGAATCCAGTTTTTTATTGTTTCAACACATAATTTTGCAGATTTGTGGGATAAAGCAATATTAATTTCTAGTATTTTTTGCTTTGAAGCTTCAATAAATTTTAATCACAATGCATCAGTTTCTTCTTATAATCTTGTATTAAATTTTTCTTCGGTATAGGAACTATGCACAAGTGCTTTATTAACAGAAGTTTCAGTTATATAGTGTTCTTTATCCAAAGATAAATTAGTTAGAAATTTTGATATAGAATTGGGATCACGGCATTGATACTGTTTTTTTTGTTGATACCTATCAATTTCATGTTTTAAAAAGAATTCAATAATCGGGTTAATGTTACTTGCCTCCTCCTCAGTTAATGGATTGCATTTTTGAGCAGTGAGACGTGTCCATGCTTCATTAACAATTGATGGAGGTAATTGGGCAATAAGACTTGAGTAATTTTTATGAAATAGCATTCCGCAGAATAATTCAGTTACATATTTCCATGAAAAAATTCCAAAAAACAAAAATATATATTATTTTTTACTTATTTTATAAAAATTCGATGAATTCTTTGGAAATTACACAATTTTTTATAATATCACAAGAGAAACATATTGCTATTCCGATTTCTGGAGCATATGAACTGCCATCCAGGAATAGTATTAATTTCCTAGCTTCAAGATATTTTTTGCTATTATAAGGTAAGAGATCATTCTCTCTAAAATATGTAAGACGTTCCCAAATCCGTTTTATCCACTCACTAGGAGTTTCATTATCACAAACTTGTGGCATCTTACAATATTCACCCCATTCTTCATCCGAACATTTAGAACCACCATGAACTACTAAACTGCTAAAATTACTCATTTTATGACTTATTTATTAATTATATGAGATTATGCTATTATATCGGATTTAAGGATTTGGATCTATTTGATTTA